CAATAATGCAGTGGACCGTTCGCACATTTTCATCGTGTTGGGTTTTATCTGGCGCAAATTCAAAATATATTTTAATAATTTCTAACTTTCATCGAACTTATTTTATTTAACATCGATAATTGGAACTGGAGAACTAATTCAAATCAGAGACATCATGAAGCAATTCGAAGTGTGATGCTTACATTTTACTTCCTTTTTTTATGTTGTGATTTATGCAATTGGACTCTTATTTAATATTGAATAGCAGCTACACAAATATCGACACCTGAAATCATTTAATATTTATTCCATTAATTTCTAATATTCAGAAAGTCTTTTTCTAATTTTCAAAATTGTGGATGAAAAACTGCACACACTTCTAAGGGTTAATATCACGAAAAACCTCAAGCTGATACATCTACGATAATTTTATCCCGAACTAATTTTTTGACCATAAAAAACTCTAAATTAGTATACCTGTGACAAATTTACCACAAACTAATTTTTTGATTACGAAAAAATCCAAACTAGTACAACTGTGACAATTTTACCCATAACTAATTTTTTAACTACAAAAAACCCTAAACTGGTACGTTTGTGAAAAATTTACCCCAAACTAATTTTTTAAGCACAAAAAGCCCAAACTTGTACAATTATGATAAATTTACCCAAAATTAATTTTTTAACCCTAAACTTGTACACTTGTGACAATTTACCCTCCGTTAAACTGGATTAATATCATGAAAAATCACAAATTCGTAAATTTGTGACGGTAAAATCTCAAACTGGTACATCTATCAACTACCACGTATCATCAAATTCAATAATTTGATAGTAAAATTTAACGAACACTAACAAAGGGTAAATTTGTTACATGTGTATCAGTTCGGAGTTTTTGGTGGTTAAAAAATTAGTTCGAAATAAAATTGTCATAGGTGTACTGTTTAGGGTTTTTTGTGATAAAAAAATTAATTTATAATAAATTTATTATAAATATATTAATTTATAATTTTTCATGATATTAATCCAATCGAAAACGTAGAAAGACAGCATATTTCGACCAAAAAAAAACAAAGAAAGAAGGACAACGGACGAGCCGTACGTGGAGTTTCCACGGGTGAATGCTCCGACAAAACTATTTTTTGGGGGAGCATGGTTTGGAATTATCCTGAAAATAAAAAGGGTTTTGGACAGCGCACGCCAGGCTGGAATTGGAAGGCTAGAGCCCTGAGGTGTACGGACGAGAGCAGCAATCTACTGCTGCTGCGGTGCTCTCGCCGTAGGCTAATTTAACAGCTGTTCCGCGCAGCGCAGGTGCACCGTACGCCTTTTTCGGGCGAAGGGGAGGGGCTTTGAGATCACGCGGCTGCCACAAAGGCACCTGCCAGCTGGCGCAATCATAGCGGTCGGGTCCCCCCGCGGACGCTGGTCTCCCTCCTCCTCCACCGGCCATTGCGCCCTATGCTGCAGCTGCTGCTGCGCCTGTGTGGCTCTGATTAGGGGTGAGCAACTTGGACCGCCCAAACCGGGACCGGATCGGACCGGACCGGACCGACGAGTTTGGTCCAGTTCTCGGGACTATCGGTCCGGTTCCCGGTTCCTAAAAGCGGAACCGGTTTCCGGGCGGTCCGGTTCCCGGTTCCAAGGGAGAACTGGACCGGACCGGACCGACTATTTAATATATATTTTTGCTATTTTTTTCTTTAAAAAATTAATAAAATGTGAACTAAACTCTAAGTGAACTTTATTATCATAAATTCATTGATAAAAAATAGTAAAATGTGAATTAAACCCTAAGTGAACTTCATTGACATAAATTTATTGACAAAAATTAGTAAAATGTGAACTAAATCTTAAGTGTTTGACAAAAAAAAAACCCTAAACTCTAAGTAACCGGTTCCATTGGACCGGAGCGGAACCGGACCGGACCGACGGTCCGATCCAGTTCCCGGTCCTAGAACCAACCGGTCCGGTCCGCGGTTCTCAAAATTGGGAACCGGTTCTCTCGGTCCGGTTCCCGGTTCCACCTTGGAACCGGACCGGACCGGGAACCGCTCACCCCTAGCTCTGATGTTTTCTGATGAAGCGCTTTCTTTTCGGTGCGCAGGCCTAACTTTTTTCCTGCCCTTTTTTTGAAGCACGTAATTTTCTATTTGGTCCGTATCTTTTGTTGGATTTCCGATTCAGACCCGTCCGAATTGATTTATTTTTCAATTTTTTAAATAGGGAAAATAACACAAAAAAAATGATTAATGTCATAAAAAAACCTCAAACTGGTGCACATGTAATAATTTTACCCCGAACTAATTTTTTGACCACCAAAAATCCCAAACTAGTATACTTGTGGTAAATTTATCCCGAACTATTTTTTGGACCGTCAAAAATCCCACACTGGTACACTTGTAATGATTTTACCCCGAACTATTTTTTTGAACACCACGAACCCCAAATTGGTACACCTGTGATAGTTTTACCCCCAATTAATTTTTTGACCACTAAAAATCTTAAACCGGTACATTTGTGACAAATTTACCCTTCGTTAGTGTCCGTTAAATTGAATTAATATCACGAAAAATCACAAATTGGTAAATTTGTGACAAACAGAGGGCTAAAACCTTAAACTGGTACACTCGTCAACTACCATGTGTCATCAAACTTAGCAATTTAACAGTAAAATTTAACGGAAACAAACAAAAGATAAATTTGTCACAGGTGTACCAGTTTGGGATTTTTTGTGGTCAAAAAATTAGTTCGGGATAAAATTATCACAGATGTACCAGTGTGGGGTTTTTCGTGATCAAAAAAATAGTTCGGGATAAAATTATCATAGGTGTACCTGTTTGAGATTTTCTGCGGTAAAAAAAATAGTTTGTGGTAAATTTGTCACAGATGTACCAATTTGGGATTTTTGGTGGTCAAAAAATTAATTCAGGGTAAAATTATCACAGATGTATCAGTTTGGAGTTTTTCGTGATATTAATCCTATAGAATGTAATTGTGCAAGGAATACTTTAAATTAAAGCGACGTCATTATTGAATGAAATACTCACATTAAAGTGATGAGAACATAAAAAAAATGACTTGTGATTTTATAGTAAATCGAAAAGAACTTACAAGGTGGGAAAAAAAACATCAGGCATATGATAATTAATTAATAAAATAAGTTAACGAAAACAATAAATAGGAGTGAAATCAAGTGTGAAATGTGTACTAACATAGGGCAGCTCCTTTAAGTTGTCAAGAGAAATGTAATTCTTTAAATATAAAAAATTTTAAGGCTGCGTGTCGCAATCATTCTGTGCCCGAGAACAGATTTTGTTTAGAAATGATTCTTTTTTATTCTATGCCCGGAAACAATTTCTAATCATTTGAATGCGTTTGGTAACTGCACAAAATTTCCATTCTTATAATAGAAAAAGAATAGAAATGCGTTTGGTAACTACACAAAATTTCATTTTATTAATAATATTTTGAATTTTTTAATATATATTTTTTCTTTTTTTCCTTTTTTTTCTTTTTTTTTTCTTTCCCTTCCGTTCCTTGGCCTGTGGACGGTCTCCGGCGTCGGCGACCGGCCACAGGCTAGGACGTCGCGGCCCTCGCCGCCACCGTCGCCACCCAGGCGACGGACCTGAGTGGCGACGGCGAGGTCTGCCTCGCCGTTGCAGCCATGAGCCGCCCTCGCCGGCCCTGGCCTGTGGCCGGCGGGTGGCATTCCGAAGAACAACAACAAACCAAAAAAAAGAAGAAAATCAAGAAAAATCAGAAATGGAAAAATTGTTCCAGAATCAAGAAGTTTCTTTTTTTTGCTTATTGATTTTGTTCCAAAACTGATTATGGGAGCAATTTTTTGCAAAAATGTGCTCGGGCACAATAAATTTAACAAATGGATTTCTGCTCCTAAACTGATTCTGGGAACAAAAGAAATAGAAACTTTTACTATTTGGCAACTTGCCAAATAGTCTCTTACTTATCAAGAAATTTCCTTTACCTCTCTGTGCATTGCTCCCCAAAGCAAGAGATCGTTGGTCAGGCAAACAATCAGTTGAAAAAGAAAAAAATACAACAGTATAATTAAGATTTCAAATTATATAACTCAATTATCATTTATTTCCACTCAAATCCTAACTAAAAGACATGTCTTTTTTTTTTTTTTGGTTAGAAATGTAAATGGAGATCTTTCTTTTCGGGAAGATACATAGTTTTTTTTATCCTCATGTTATAGTATTTATTTGTGTGAAAAAAATATCAGAGCTTACAACAGCATAAACTATTAAACGAACCAATGACCATGCATTCTTTGCTCGCAAACATCATAAAATGATGATTTTCAGATAGCAGAAAACAATTCCAAATATCATCCTAATCGAGTAAAAAAAAATCGCAACATGCATTTGTTGAATCTTGTGTATACATTACTAGCGTTTCACTCTGGTCAGAAAACACGTTATAGTCGCTGTAATTTGGGGCATTCGTGGATTGTATCATACTGTATATAACCATAATTACTTGAGTTACTCAAATAGTATTTTCTTTACCAAGTAAATTACATCAACAGATGTAATGTGTGAATTCCCCATTATCTTGAAGTTAGATCATGGAAATATTGCGAATTCCCAACCACCAACTCTCGTTTTAAAAAAAAAAAAACCATCGCACATTAATTAAAAATGAGAAACGAGGTGGAAACAGCACTGCCCAACTCACTTAAAGAAAATACATACACCTTTTTATTAGAGACTCTCTCTACAATATCAGTCGAGAGAACTCCATACTCATACATAAGCACACAGATATTTCTAGAGTGGCCAATCCGTTAGCCACACATTGCGGCACTCTTCTTATAAGAAAATATCTTACATGTTGAGATATTTATTCGCAATTATATTCTACTTCAACATCGGATTTCCTCCTCAATTTCCCCGCAATTAATTATTTGCAGATATGTCAATGTGGCAATGCGACGAACGCCGTCTGGTAAAGAGGACAATCTAGGACAGTTTTCAATCCCCAGAGTTCTCAAAAAAGAACAATTTTGCAGCCACTCGGGCAATACCCTCAAGTTGCGACAATCTCCAATCATTATCCTCTGCAATGTACATGCAGAACCTTTGAGCCACCCGGGCAAAGAAACAATTTCCGATGATCCCCCGAATATGAAGGATTGAAGCCTCAACACGGAGCGTGGTTCATTACTTTTGCCTTCTTGCGGCCTCAAGTTCCGGCAGCCGCTAATCCAGAGATCCTCCAATGCCTTCAGATTCTTGATGCCCTATGGTAAGGAGGCCAACTTTGGACAACCTCCAATGAGCAACTTACGGAGCGACGTGAGCGATTGGATGTCATCGAACAAGGCCTCCAAATTCTCACACCCTCCAATGCTTAGCCACCGCAGAGATGTCAAGCATCCTATTCCCCTCTCCGGGAAACGCTACTGTCTGGTGGTTATGAACAAAACGCGGAGGCTGATCATATTCTTGATGTCTGCAGGCAATTCCTCGAGTCCCCTGCACCCGCCAAGACCTAAGCACTGCAGATTGCGAAGCTTGCAGAACGATTTGGGGGAGTTTCTTGATATTACAGTTGTCGGATAAATGAAGAAACCTCAAATGATTTAGACCGCCAATGGAACTAGGCAGTATGTCAAAGCTAGAGCCATATAGATCTATCACTCGCAAGTGCTTGAATCGTGAAATGCACATCTCCAGAAAGAACTCCCCAGAGGAACCCTCCTCAAACATGACGGTACGAATGCAGCTGAGTTTGCCCAAGCAGCTGCGTTATTCATCTTTTGGTACATGAGATGGGTCGGGAAATGATGTATGCCGAGTCATCGGGGAAATATCCTGCGTGAACACTTTCATGTTTGACGATTCCATTTGTGCCACCGAAATGGCAAGTTCGTGAATGAGGTCGTGCATTCCGAAGATCAGGAATGGATAGTTTTCCTAGACAGCATCGAAGAAGGATCTCGACAACAGCTCCTCCAAGTATTGCCATCCAATCTCTTCCAGCTCCTGACTATTTCCGCTGGATTGGATGAGCCCGTTCGAGATCCACAGTTGGATCAAATCAAAGTTGACTAACGTGCGTTTCTTCAGGAATATTGAGCAATAAGCAAAACATTGTTTCAAGTAAGGCGGCATTAAATCGTAGCTTATCCTTAGTGAAGGTAAAATATGAGTTTGTAATTGCCACATCTCACTATCTCTTACATATTTCCCGTCGCTCCGGTTGTTTTTTTTTTAATACAACAAGCTTCCCAAAATCTTAACCGCTAGAGGATTTCCCCCGCAGTTGCTCACGATTTCCTTGCCGATTACCATAAGGTCCGGGTGATTCTTCTCTTGCCCTTGATCACACGCTCACTTCACGAACAAAGCAAAAGAATCCTCCAGCGAAAGGTCAGCCAAATTGAGCGGGGGACAGTGCCCATGATTGAGGCGGTCGATTTGTTCCGTGAAATCACAATGACTTTACTCCCTTCGGAAACGCCTCCTAACAAATCTCTCAGTCCCACCCAATCCTTCCGTGTCACTTCCCACATATCGTCCATTACGAACAAACATCTTTGTTTCTCCACAATACTTCTTACGCAATTTTGCAGCATTTCAACTCTATCATATTTTTCTCTATGACCAAGAGACTTGACGATGTCTCTTAGTATCTCCTCAACTTTGAATTGGATAACCAAACTTTGTGATCAAAATGTTCGTTTACCCTATCATCTTTGTATACCAATTTAGCGAGAGTCGTCTTTCCAGTACCCGCTTTTCCAAGAATCGGAACGACTGCTATCGTTCCAGCTCCACCATTATCTGATCTGCTCAACAGCTCAATTATTCTTTCCTTTTCTTCGTTCCTTCCAATCACATTCCAAGGGCATACAAAATAATGAGTTTCCCTCCGCGGAACTATAGTGTTGTTATCAACATCACTCGAAAAATTAAACCGAGTTTTCTCTTCATTGATCCCATCAAGTCTCTTTCTTAGTTCTTTCATTTTATGCGTCATTTTAAACTGGAAAATGGAGTTGGATAGCCACGAGGACAAGTAGTGTACCTTTCTTTTAAGGGTCAAGCACTCGGTTGACCTCGCCCATCTCCACAAAGCCCTGGCTTCGAATTCGTCTAGCACGTCCTCGGCATCATAGCAGAAGTCTTTAAGCTTTGACAACCAAAGCCTCACAGCTTCCTCTTTTGTTTGCTTCTGCTCAGCATCGGCGAGCACCTTCTTGATCATCTCTAGCATGTTCTTGAGCTTCTCTCGGTCATCCTTGATGCCCCCTTTCAGTTGAATTTCTTCAACAGCCGATGAATCTAGTTTCTCCACAAGAGGTCCGAGGATGCTAGAGACGACCTCAGACATGGTTGTGATTGGTGTTATTGGTTTACGAGGAGGTTTAGCGTAACCGCTGTGCAGGAACTAAACTAGTTATGAGAAGAAGGATAGCAAAGAAGTATGATTTTGGCCCGTTTATATAGGCAGAGACATAGGAATACACATGGTGGGATGTAGTATGTCCAACGTTATTCCAAACTGTCACATAGTTCACTCAATTCTTGGTGGAAATCTGCAAGCCATTCGATGCTGTTCCAATTAGATTTGGAATAGCCTGTCTGATGAAAGATAAAGCAAAAGCGGCCTGAATTGTGCTACCTTTCTCTGTAATCTTTACTACATTCCTTTCTTTGTTCTCCGCTTATTTTAAGATAAATATGTGCACAGAGAATAATAAGCTCCTTTTCAGTTTTCATTGCTTGATCCCTATATTAGATGCCCGCTATTTCGCCCTTTTACAAGAATGAGAATGATTGGTTTAGAAGTATGTGTTGTATTCCGTCCACAATTTTGAAAATTGGAACAATAGTTTCTGAATATTAGAAAATAATGGGACAATTCTAAATGATTCTAGGTATCGATATTCGTATAGCTGCGTGCCGTTCAATATTAAATAAGAGTTGAATTGCATACACTGCTACAGAAAACGGGAAGTAAAAAGTAAACATCACTTAGAATTGCTTCATGATGTCCCTGATTTGAATTAATTCTCCAGTCCCAAATATTGATGCTTAATAGAGTAAGTTCGAAGCAAGGTAGCAACTACACATTTGCTTGAAATGGACAATGCATCAGAAAATTTCATTACAGAACACTCCACAATACTCAATGCACACGAAGGATTTCTGGTGTTGAAAAGAGGTGTGGGAGTGCCAGCAAATAATGTTTGGCCTTTACCTTTATCCACAGAAAAAACTGAGTGATGATATTTTTCATCAACCCCATTGGTGCTGAAAGATACTGAGCATCGGACACCAACACTATCCACTAAAATCGATCAGATGCTAGTACTTCACAGCTTATAGAGAGTTGTTAGACAATAGGACAGGGCAAACTTGAGGAGTATTAAAATTGAACCTAATATTTAAGCCAGGAAATGGCTTTCATTGGCAGCCGGTCGCTACTGGGCACACCAGTTGGCAAGGCATTAGATACAAGGCAGAGTTCATGACAGTTGACTATCAAGATTCAGGGCGGGATTTTGCAATGAAGTTTTGACCACTGATGGGATTCATTATGACCGGCAGGCCTACTGTCTGAGGCCATGCCTGAAACTCTGTTTCTGTTCCTTCCCACCATTCTTTGCTGGCAATGGTTGGTGGTTTGGTTCCTAAATACTCCAACAGAACAGGGAAAAAAAGAATATTAATCAGCATTCGTATTAGCGACTTTCTGGTCAAGAGGTGCTTCCAAATACTCGATGGTCTTCGGTGCTTATACGCTAACTTTTCTAATGACTTCGTGCAATTTTAAGCCCATCACAAATTACTGGAACTATATCTGAAGTGATCCGTGCAATTGTAAGTCCTCTTTCACCCACTTCATTCCAACATATCGGGGTTCCAAGAGCTTTGCCATACAATGCTACAAAGGGAGCCATACCGACAGTCTACCGATAACCGGGGAGATCCAGGTGGAGTAATTAGATAAGGCTTTGTGATTAGTGTCACGTGCTGCGCACAGGATTGCTATCAATGGAAGTTCGGCTCACCAAGCATCTGGGCTTGGATCGATTATGTACAGAAGATTTACCGGTTTCGTACAAGCTTTGACTTTGAATCAAGTGGGCATGTGATGATGTGTGTATGTAGTTTCTAGGAATGTTGACTTCATAGATAATTCTCTGTCAAACCTGTGGCTGATGGCTATACAAGGTTAAGCAGGAGAAATCCAGTAATTTTTCCTGGAAACTCATTCTAAGATGAACGGAAATAAGTTTGTAACAAGCATGCAATAGAAACAAGCACTTAATTTGTCAAGCTCAAGATAAAGTGCAGCGTAGTGCACTATAATCAGATTCACTTTGCCTATTCCATTGCATCTCATCCTTTCTTGAAGCCTTCGACGAGTACATTACTTACTTTATGCAAGAAACAAACCGAAAATTACCAGCAAAAGCAATCATTTGACTTTGAAAATGTATACTTTGAAGTGCATCGCACAAAGAAAAAACTCAGAAGAGAGCCATAAAGCTGAAACAAGCATAGATTCGAATATCTCCAGTCCACAACCACACCGAAGAAATGGAACCAGAACACTAAGAGGGAAAACGTGACAAACAACCATGGAGTTACTAAAGTTCGTGGACATTGGCGTTGACTTAAATTCACCTATGTGATACCAAACATAAAGTTCTTGAGCATGAGTCTTATCTTCCACGACTGGTGATGCAAAGCATTATGTGCTCCATTTAAGAACCTTCGGACTTGAAATATCCGGCGATCTCTCGTGGAAATGATCTTTCATGCTGATTTGAAGGTGGAGAGAGACAGTTGACACTACTAGGACATGAAAACAGTAAAAGAAACATGATTTCAAAACTTCGACGTTCAATCCATAAACTTGTCAAAAGTTAGGAGGGGGAGAGAGGGAAAGAGAGGGGGAGTTTGCTTGTACCAATTAATTGATCTATTTGATCTTCCCTCCATCGATATTAGTCTCTGGGACGCTGCAACTCCACAACTCAATCCCCTGCGTGCATCAAATCCTCAACTCCATCAAAGTGTGATGCGGCCAAGGCCATCTGGTGAAGAAGAAGACCTGGCACAGTCCTCGATCTTCAGTTTTCTCAGTGAAGAACATTTCCGTAGCCACTCCGGCAATACATTCAAGTTGAGGCAATCAGCAATATCTATCCTCTGAAGTGTTACTCGCGGACCCTTCGAGCCACCGGGGTAAAGAAGCCATTTTCGAGAATCTCGCAGACATCAAGGGATTGAAGCCTCGATATGGAGAGTGGTCCATTACTTTCGCTGTCTGGCGAGTTCAAGTTACTGCAGCTGCAAATGCATAGATTCTCAAATACCTTCAAAATTTTTGATGCCTTTGTGGTAAGGAGGCCAACTCGGGACAACCCCCCCATAGATAATATACAGAGCATTGTCAGTGAGCACATATCGTCGAACCAGGCCTCCACATTCTTGCACTCTCTAATGAGTAGACACCACAAGAGAAATCGAGCATCCCATTCCGTTCTACGACAAAAGCAGCTGTTTCGTGGTTGTCCACAAAAAGCAGAGGCTGACCATATTCTAGATGTTTGCGGGCAATTGCTCGAGTCTCTCACCCCCGGCATATCCTAAGATCTGCAAATGGCGAAACTCGCAGGCCGACTTAGGGAGTTTCTCGATCTTATGGTTTCCGCTTATATTTACCGAACGTAATCGTTCAAGGAATACCTGACTTGTGATTTCATAATAAATCGAAAAGAACTTGCAAAGGAAGGGGAAAAGAACACGAGGAGTATGAGAAATAATCGATAAAATTAGTGTACGAAAGCGATGAATAGGAGTGAACTTTAGTGTGAGATGTCTTCTAACATAAGGCAGCTCCATTGAGTTGTGAAGAGAATTGTAATCCTTTAAATATACAAATCTAAGTTATTAAGAAATTTCATCACTTCTCTATGCATTGCTTCCTAGAGCAAGAGAGCATTGGTCAGGCAAACAACCAAATTGGAAAAGGAAAGATACCATAGTAGAAGCAAGATTTCGAATTACACAAGTCAATTATCATTTATTTCTATTCAAATCCTCGTTAGAAGATAGATGATTCTTTAAAGGGATAATGACGCAAACAGTTCTTGAACTTTTGCCCAATGTGTAATGTGATTCTTGAACTTTTAATTTGTTCAATATAATCATGAACTTTAACTTAATATTCAATGTGGTCCTGAACTTTTGGTGCAAGTTCAATT